CTCTCGTTTCTCACACCACAGGAGAACAAAAGAAACAGACAATAATTTAGTATTTTATGTACTCACTGGGTTATTTCAACCATACAATATCCTTTTAGACATACCTATGTTCACATTCGCGCTAAGAAATAAGCAAGCAGCTTAACTCAGGAATATTATAAATAGCGCAATAACATTTTATTTTATTTATTTATTTTTATTTTTAATCCGTCAACATAGCTCTCATTTATAAATTCAATGAATCTCAATCAAAATAGGTTCATAGTTACGCAACAGCCACTTTAACAAACATAATACTTTATTTGTGTGTACTCAGTCTCCCCCTTTCTTTTTTCAGCTATAAGTCTGCGTCTCCCAGCAGCTCAGTGCAGGCAGGGGAGTGGCATATTCGTTCTGGTTAACTACAAACCCTTAGAGCTCCACACATGCGCAGTTCATTTACTAGTGCGACTTCAGGGTGAGAGGAGCGCTCCCGCAAGTAACTTTTATCTAAGTCAAACAGCAGACAGACCAGCTGTCCCTCCGTTCTTTCCAACACAGACAAACAGTAACACTGAACAAAACGCACAAACCAACACAAAACATAGAACACAAATCCTACTTCGAAGTTTCTTAACGTAACTATAGTCTATTTTCTCTCTCTTCTTTCTTCACTTATTTTACTCTAATCTGTAGATTTATAGTTATTTTCTTATCCATTACAAATCCTCTCTATACAATCATAACATCCTCCCGGGGGCTCATAGATTTTAACAAATTTGAAAACGTTCTCTCAAATGGAGACTCATAAGGTTTTAACCATAATTAACAGATTTCCTTACAAAAAACTAAAACCCCTGTTCTCAACCAAAACATATATATGTATATATATATCTAACATAAAATCTTATCATAGCATGAGTCGAGCATATAATTCTCTACACAATCCACACAGCTCAAACACAGCAGAGACATCATTATTTTGCGCACACACACACACTCTCTTTCTCTCACACACACATGAAAACTATTCAATCAACAAGAATGCATCCATTCATACAATTCCAAAAGCATGCTTCCGTCGCTCCTATTCCTTTATTGTCCTTCCTACATTTGTGCTTCCTTGAGTTGCAGATATTCAATGAGAGGCTACTTCGGACATATACCTTGTCAACTATATACCGAGAGGTAACATACAATTGAATGTGTATTCTACAAACTCACAGTCCCTTGGACTGACCCGAAAATCCACCTAGTGAATTCACAGGATTTGTGGCCCATCTAATGATCGCCTCGTTTGAGGGATTCCGTAGATCAGCGACGTCCTAATTAGTATACATTTTTCCTTAGTTCCTTGTCCCTTATTTCTTCATTCTATTCCTTTTCCCTTTAATTTTATTCAAGCCAAATATCCCTGGGCCCAGTGTTATCAATTCCTTTTTTCCTTAGATCTTGTATTATATAGACACTCCCCCCTGTTTGCGTTGTTTCCAACGCAAACAAATTTAGAAATTTAGAACGGAATCTTATCACACAGCAATAACAGCACGGCTCACGCAGATTGTTCACGGTGCGTCCCCCCAACGCACACACAGTCACACGAACTGACCAGCGCCCAAAGTTGTGAGAAAGCTCACCTTTATCTGCCGGACTCTGGAGCGGGAGTCAGCTCGGAGCCCATGATGTAACGCTAAAATAGACGCAACATGTCCCAAAATCCTCGGCGCCAATTTATGTGGTGGCCGAACAATGCTGCAATGCTGTGTTGACAAGGAATCCGCTGACACTGTACTTTGATTATAACTTTTATTATATCAAAGGATTTCAGCATCAATTTACAGACTTCTGCAGAATCTGGAGAGCAACTAATCCAATCTCAAATATGATCACTCTCCTCGTCCCTTTGTTCAAACATGGTATATATCCTATGTAACATAAGATGGCGTGTTTTGAATAGACCAATCCCTGGCCTCCACATATCCTAATGTCCACCATCTTAGGGGGCCCCTATAGTAATACTTTCCAGATGTTTCAGCAAAGCAGAGTAAAGTAGAGTTCATTTAACCAACAACATGAAAACCTCAGCCAAAGCTATAAATGTTCAGATACTACAGGCGCACTAGAGCGCATTACATAAATCCGCTCGGATGTGGTTTAAACTGCATTCTAATGTTGACTGCTTAAAGAAAACGGTATCAAGCGAAGTGCTTTATGCATGCTCAGTTCTTGGGTCTCGGGGGCTGCCCGACTGGAAATTTGAAATGGAAGATATGGAACTCGCTCACGTGGTTCCTTTTGTGTGGAAAAGTCCTCAATGAAACTGACATTAGGGTAAATGTGGAGAATTATACATTTGCCTCTGTTGGCCATCAAGTACCCTATTAATGTATATGCCATTGTAGGCTACCATTTGACACAATAAATATGTTGAAATTACGATATTACAAATCAATTTGTGCCACTTGTGTAGCCTACCTGGAGCTGGCAAATCAATGTAATAAATAGCCTATAACTTCCGTTTATTGTTGTTGTAGCCTTGTGTTATTATGAACACATTAGATTGACAGTAACAGTAGTCAGATTAGGCTACAGGTAAAAAAAATGTAAAAAAATAAATAAATAAAAACACTGGCTGTTGTTGACAAGCATATTCAGTTCATATACAGTACCAGCCAAAAGTTTGGACACACCTAGTCATTCAAGGTACTTTTTATTTTTACTATTTTCTACATTGTAGAATATTAGTGAAGACATCAAAACTATGAAATAACACATGGAATCATGTAGTAACTATGATGAAGCTATGGTAGTGAACATCTCTGCTTCAGACTATGATGAAGCTACACTACCGGTCAAAAGTTTTAGAACACCAACACATTCAAGGGTTTTTCTTCATTTTTACTATTTTCTACAATGTAGAATAATAGTGAAGACATCAAAACTATGAAACAACACATGGAATCATCTAGTTACCATAAAAGTGTTAAACAAATTAAAATATATTTAATATTTGCGATTCTTCAAATAGCCACCCTTTGCCTTGATGACAGCTTTGCACAAGCATGGCATTCTCTCAACCAGCTACACCTGTAATGCTTTTCCAACCGTCTTGGAGTTCCCACATATGCTGAGCACTTGTTGGCTTCTTTTCCTACACTCTGCGGTCCAACTCATCCCAAACCATCTCAATTGGGTTGAGGTCGGGTGATTGTGGAGGCCAGGTCATCTGATGCAGCACTCCATCACTCTCCTTCTTGGTCAAATAGCGCTTACACAGCCTGGAGGTGTGTTGGGTCATTGTCCTGTTGAAAAACAAATGATAGTCCCACTAAGCGCAAACCAGATGCGATGGCGTATCACTGCAGAATGCTGTGGTAGCCATGCTGGTTAAGTGTGCCTTGAATTCTAAATAAATCACTGACGGTGTCACCAGCAAAGCACCCCCACACCATCACACCTCCTCCTCCATGCTTCACGGTAGGAACCACACATGCGGAGATCATCCGTTCACCTACTCTGCGTCTCACAAAGACACAGCGGTTGGAACCAAAAATCGCAAATTTGGACTCATCAAACCAAAGGACAGATTTCAACTGGTCTAATGTCCAATGCTCGTGTTTCTCCTCAGAACAGTTGATGTTGAGATGTGTCTCTGTGAAGCGTTTATTTGGGCTGCAATCTGAGGTGCAGTTAAGTCTAATGAATTTACAGTGAGGGAAAAAAGTATTTTTTCCCCCTGCTGATTTTGTACATTTGCCCACTGACAAAGACATGATCAGTCTATAATTTTAATCGTAGGTTTATTTGAACAGTGAGAGACAGAATAACAACAAAAAAATCTGGAAAAACTAATGTCAAAAATGTTATCAATTGATTTGCATTTTAATGAGGGAAATAAGTATTTGACCACTCTGCAAAACAGAGGTCAGACGTTTCTTGTAGTTGGCCACCAGGTTTGCACACATCTCAGGAGGGATTTTGTTCCACTCCTCTTTGCAGATCTTCTCCAGGTCATTAAGGTTTCGAGGCTGATGTTTGGCAACTCGAACCTTCAGCTCCCTCCACAGATTTTCTATGGGATTAAGGTCTGGAGACTGGCTAGGCCACTCCAGGACCTTAATGTGCTTCTTCTTGAGCCACTCCTTTGTTGCCTTGGCCGTGTGTTTTGGGTCATTGTCATGCTGGAATACCCATCCATTACCCATTTTCAATGCCCTGGCTGAGGGAAGGAGGTTCTCACCCAAGATTTGATGGTACATGGCCCCGTCCATCATCCCTTTGATGCTGTGAAGTTGTCCTGTCCCCTTAGCAGAAACACACCCCCCAAAGCATAATGTTTCCACCTCCATGTCTGACGGTGGGGATGGTGTTCTTGGGGTCATAGGCAGCATTCCTTCTCCTCCAAACACGGCGAGTTGAGTTGATGCCAAAGAGCTCCATTTTGGTCTCATCTGACCACAACACTTTCACCCAGTTCTGCTCTGAATCATTCAGATGTTCATTGGCAAACTTTAGACGGCCCTGTATATGTGCTTTCTTGAGCAGGGGGACCTTGCGGGCGCTGCAGGATTTCAGTCCTTCAGGGCGTAGTGTGTTACCAAATGTTTTCTTGGTGACTATGGTCCCAGCTGCCTTGAGATCATTGACAAGATCCTCCCGTGTAGTTCTGGGCTGATTCTCATGATCATTGCAACTCCACGAGGTGAGATCTTGCATGGAGCCCCAGGCCGAGGGAGATTGACAGTTATTTTGTGTTTCTTCCAAATTGGTGCATTCAATTTATGATAGCCAGTGGGACAACCACTTTTTTTTTTATGGGGGGGTGGGGGAGGGGGGGGTCATCATAAGATCTTTGATTTATTATATATATTGTGGTAACGTGCAAAGGTCAATCACTCTATTTCATAGGGCAAATTTTTTTGTTTTTTTGTATGTCAACATGTTATGCAACCTACAGTAAAAGGAGATTAGGAATTCCCACAGCGGGATTTCCCCATCGGCTAAACTCAAATCGCGCGAGACGTGGGAATCGGGACCGGAGCGCGCTTCGTCTGACGGAGAGAGACGTATATTCAGTTTACGTTTTCTTAAACACAAGAAACAGATTGCAATCTGCATAGAGGAAAAATCTACTGTAGCTCGTTGACCGACCGTGGTGTGTTCCGAGTCTGCTGTCCTCAAAGAGACGTAATCATATATAGTGCACGGGATAACGTTTGCACAGTTGCACTGCCTGGAATGCGCGAGATCCAATTTGTGTATCGGTTGGGTCAACAATAGTTCTCGTTGTATTGAGTTTTTAGTTTTCAGAGAGGCTCCACTGCCACGCGAAGGAGGAAACCGAAGTTACGACGGGCTTGTTTGTCTCGCAGTCTCTGAATTCTGCAGGAATGTCTCACAAGGAGAGACCAACTTTCTACAGACAGGAGCTGAACAAGACGATATGGGAGGTCCCGGAGCGGTACCAGGCCCTGTCCCCGGTCGGCTCTGGAGCCTATGGATCAGTCTGGTAAATACCGTGCAGTATGACAACAATATCTCCGAGAACTAGCTATAGAGTTGACTGTTGCATAACAAATAGCGGAGTTGGCTGAGGTTTAACCTAACGCCCGTAATAGGGCCTGGGGAAATTCAACGCTTGCTCAATCTACTGCGATGATCTACCAATAAACTATAGCATCAGTGTAGCAATTTGCAGATGGGATCAAATCACAAATCGAGCAGGGGATACTTTCTGTTTCTCTGCTGTTTACGTTATCTACAAAGTTTCAGTCAGTGTAACAAATTATTAGGCTACTGTTACTGAAACCAGATCGCCTGTGTTACGCACGCCTCGGGTTTGTATCGGATTATCTTTGTTTTTGTGCAATTCGAAACATTTTTGTCTTCCCTGGATGTTTTTCATGGTACACAACATCCTGTAAACAAAAAGTGATTGTCATTTGCGAGAAGTTAGCTGACAGAAGAAAGGCTATTCACTCTCAAGTAAACACAAAGGCACAATCGAAATAGTTTTTGAGGAAATTGTTTTACGGTGCAGATTGTTATTGTTGATAACGTAGCCTACTTATCGGTGAGGACACAGTGTGCCAATGAGTGCACGCGCCTATCGCATATCGTCGCCAGCAGCACATAAACAACAATGCTAATACATCATCTGTCAAGGTTGTAGAATCAGAATGTGTAGGCTATATGGTTCTGGCGCCTATCTCCAAAATGTTGGATAACAATGTGTTTTTTCAACTGTGACGTCTGTATCTTGCTGGTTCGAATCCCCGAGTCGACTTGATGAAAAATCTGCCGTTGTGCGTGCCCTTGAGCAAAGCACTTAACCCTAATTGCTCCTGTAAGTCGCTTTGTATAAGAGCGTCTGATAAATGACAAAAAAAAAGAAAAATTAGGCTACTGAATGAAAAACATTTTTTTGCATGGGGGTTTACAGGCTATATATAGGCTATTAAATTTGTCCCACATGATGTTGCTTGAACTTGGCTAAATCATTATGCTTTGCATCTGAATGTAAGCTGAAAGTAACTGAAACTGAACGTAAGCTTCTAGTTACATCACCCCTGTGCCCAATAGCCCCATGCATGTTCGTTCTAGTACCCCACTCCAAGCCAGCAGTATGTGTGACTGACAGAAAGTCAGTCTGCGCTGCTAGTACCTATACGTAGTGTAGTGATTGTTCTATTCAATAGGCATCTGCTGTTCTGCCTGCTGGAGATGAGTTTAGAACAGGGCTCACGGGGGGGGGGGGGGGGGGGGGGGGGGCATAATTACAAATCATTTGTAGACTGCAAATTGACCGCAAGAAGCGCAAACGGATATAATATTTGACTAAAACATAATCATTTCAAACCTTGCTTACATTTGTGTACAATCAAGTCACTCTGTTATGCATGGTAATACTTGAGAACAGATTTCCTTAAGTTAAAATCCCTTGAAGCTGATTTCCTGGTGTTTTTAGTCTTTTATGTACAACAACACAAAATGTAGGAAATGTTTTGCTCAGAACTTTGGGGGGCAAACCCTGGTCTAGAATGATGTCATCAATTCCCGTTGAGTCTACAGGGATGAGTCATAGCCACGAGATGAGGTAACCTAGACTCCTCAGCACTGATTTCCTTTAGTCATCCTACTCAAGGTCCATTTGACAAGAAGACTTCATTATAATGTACTATTTGTACATAATCCTCCTGTCCTGTGAGAATAATTATTTTATTTTCTGGACAGGATATGTGTCACTGCTGGGTTGTTTTGTAGCAGCTGCCTCATTTTGCTTTCAGTTGGAGAATGATGCTTTGACCCTCTGTCACTAGATGGTCACGCTATAAAGGACTACGGTGACAATGGAGATTATCATCAGAAAGTGAGCAGCAACCGAACTGATGAGCAAATATATAAGCTGTTTAGGGTTAATGGTAAGGGTAGCTGTAAGGATTAATTAATTGTCCCAGTATGAAAAATGTATGCACTCACTAACTGTAAGTCGCTCTGGATAAGAGCGTCTGCTAAATGACCCCACCCCCCAAAAAATGTTAGGTTAGCTAACTTCAGAATGTCTGTCTCTGTATCATGGCCACATATTGATGACCTGCTGCATCTCACTCTGGTCTGCTGGACAGAGCAGTTGCCTACTGATTTAATGGCGTGGCGAGAGAGCGGCAGCAGGCTGCAGTATAATGGGAGAATAGTCAGGTATTAATAGACTAACTCCTCCTCCTTGTCTTAGCTGTTCAAATCACTAAGAACTTTAAATGATCCACACACACAGCCGCGACAGTGCCTCTTCCCCGTCACGAGGTTGAAAAGGTTTGGCATGGGCCCTCAAATCCTCAAAGTTATACAACTGTACCACTGAGAGCATCTTGACTGGCTGCATCACTGCCTGGTATGGCAATAACACCGCCCTCGATCGCATGGCGCTACATCTCTGGGGCCGAGCTCCCTGCCGTCATCCAGGACCTCTATATCAGGCGGTGTGAAAGGAAGGCCCGGAAAATCGTTAAAGACTCTAACCACCCTAGCCATAGACTGTTCTCTCTGCTTCTGCACGGCAAGCGGTACCGGTGCATCTAGTCTAACACCAACAGGCTCCTGAACAGCTTCTATCCCCAAGCCATAAGACTGCTAAATAGCTAACTAAATAGCTAACAGAATGGCCACACTGACTACCTGAGTTGACCTTTGTATTTTATTATATTTTAGTCTCAATGCACACTCACAGGGCCCTACACAAATACAAACACTCACTCCATCATTTGCTCACACACATTTCTACTGACTTTATACATACCCACTCATACATCATCATGCTATTCTGTTTATCATACATCCTGATGCCTAGTCACCTTACCCCTATATATACCTACCTCTATCACTCCAGTATCCCTGCACATTGTAAATATGGTACTGGAACTGACCCTGTGTATAGTATGCTTACATACTTTATCATGTTCTTCTTATTTTTATTTATTGTGTGTTTTTGTTGTTATGTTATTTTTAGTATTACATTGTTATTGATTACTGCATTGTTGGGTTTTGAGTTTGCAAGAAAGGCATTTCACTGTACGTGTGCATGTAACATTAAAACTTGAAACTTGTTCCATTGGTCAGTTCCCGTAGTCCTGTCTGCAGTCAGTCAGTCGTTCAGGTAGTCGGTCAGTCAATCAGTACGTCGGTTACCCTGTTAGACTGTTGTTCAGTCCATTCAGTCACCCTGTTAGGCTGTTGTTCAGTCCATTCAGTCACCCTGTTAGACTGTTGTTCAGTCCATTCAGTCACCCTGTTAGACTGTTGTTCAGTCCATTCAGTCACTCTGTTAGACTGTTGTTCAGTCCATTCAGTCACCCTGTTAGACTGTTGTTCAGTCTATTCAGTCACCCTGTTAGACTGTTGTTCAGTCCATTCAGTCACCCTGTTAGACTGTTGTTCAGTCCATTCAGTCACTCTGTTAGACTGTTGTTCAGTCTATTCAGTCACCCTGTTAGACTGTTGTTCAGTCCATTCAGTCACCCTGTTAGACTGTTGTTCAGTCCATTCAGTCACCCTGTTAGACTGTTGTTCAGTCCATTCAGTCACCCTGTTAGACTGTTGTTCAGTCCATTCAGTCACCCTGTTAGACTGTTGTTCAGTCCATTCAGTCACCCTGTTAGACTGTTGTTCAGTCCATTCAGTCACTCTGTTAGACTGTTGTTCAGTCTATTCAGTCACTCTGTTAGACTGTTGTTCAGTCCATTCAGTCACCCTGTTAGACTGTTGTTCAGTCCATTCAGTCACCCTGTTAGACTGTTGTTCAGTCCATTCAGTCACTCTGTTAGACTGTTGTTCAGTCTATTCAGTCACTCTGTTAGACTGTTGTTCAGTCCATTCAGTCACTCTGTGGCTGCGTTCCAGGTTTTCTTTTTGCAGTCCTGCTACTCAGATTATCAGATCTCACGTCGCCTGGAGAAGTATCTAACATATCAGGAACCACTTTAACATGATGTAGTGAGCTTATATGCGCAGCACAACTGCAAAACACAACAACCTGGCATGCCAGCCTTTCAGCCAGTCAACAAGCCCGTCAGTCATAGTTAATGTATGTATCCCTTTGTTCCTCCCTCCCTCCCTCCCTCCCTCATAGGCCTCAGTGTGACCTCTGCCTGCTAGAGGAATGTAAAGCACCATGTTGGGGATTCTAGATTTTACCCCATCTGTCACTCAAAGTATTCCTGAGAAAACCACTCCCATCTCAGACCTCACTCTATTCCTGATCGGTTCTTAGAATGGGTTATTAGAATGTGGAAGCTGTCCGGGAATTGGTTAGTTGGCTATGCGAGTTTATTCAAAGAGTGTTCAGAGAGTTATTCATAATATACACTGAGTGTACAAAACATTAAGAACACGTTCTTAATATTGAGTTGCACCCCCTCCACCCTTTTGCCCTCAGAACAGCCTCAATTGGTTGGGGCATGGACTCTACAAGGTGTCAAAAGCATTCAACAGGGATGCTGGCCCATGTTGACTCCAATGCTTTCCACAGTTGTGTGAAGTTGGCTGGATGTCCTTTGGGTGGTGGACCATTCTTGATACCCACGGGAAATGGTTGATTGTGAAAAACCCAGCAGAAACACAAACCGGTGTGTCTGGCACCTACTACCATACCCCATTCAAAGGCACTTAAAGCTTTTGTCTTGCCCATTCACCCTCTGAATGGCACACATACACAATCCATGTCTCAAGGCTTAAAAATCCTTCTTTAACCTGTCTCCTCCCCTTCATCTACACTGATTGAAGTGTATTTAACAGGTGACATCAATAAGTGATCATACCATTCACCTGGTCAGTTCTTAATGTTCTGTACACTCAGTGTATATTGATATGTTTACTTTAAGACGCCCCTTTTATAAGTTTATAGACAGTTTATATGTGTATAAAATCATGAATTAACAGTTATAAGTCATTAGTTGGCTGTGGGTACAGTGAGGAGAGCTATGGTATGCAGTTCCCTCAGAGACAGCCACTAAACCATGCTTCCCAAACACACATGCATTTATAATGTAAACTAAACAATGGAGTCAAGACAACCAATGACAGGCCTGCTTTCTTGAACACGACCACATGGGCGTGTAGTTGTGGTAGCAAGTTCACTCTCAGAAAAGAAATCAAATCCTGTACGTGTCTGACTTCTTCGTAGGAACTTGCTTCCTTGGTATTTGAAGGGGGAACACAACAGTCTCTGTATTAGGCAACGTGGGATATAGAGAGGTAATGTGTCATAGCCGTCACCGCCGCAATATTTCACTGATACAAATCGTGTGTGAGAGACTCAAATGGGCAGGGCAGTTTTAACAACCACTCAACCTCTGCTCTCTGTACTCTCTGTTCAGTCTCAGGGTGTGGCCATGCTGAGGAATCACTGTATCATGGAGCACAGCCAAGCCATGTTACTGTTATACACGTGGACACAAGTTTCAGCACTGTCACATGATGAAGTTGAGTTGAGACACATCCACCTCTTAGCACAGTGACATAGCATAGGGGCAAATCCTAAATCATGCATCAATGTCAGTGGGAGACTAGGTGAGTGAAAATGTGACTTAGGTGGGAGTTAGGATTGGTCCCATTGAGACTAGTAAAGTAGGAGATTCTAGAGACTGACTGCCAGTTGGTCTGGTCTGGCTACCCCATGGATAGTGACATCCCTGTATTTCCTGTTAACAGTCAGCTGCTATAAGAACCGGATGGTCAGGAGCAGATGGGAATCTTATGAGAAGGGTGCAGCAGCTGTATTAGCTGTTGACAGATACTAAAACCATGTGTTGAGAGTGAGAGACCGTGTTATATCTCATCTATCAGGTGGAAGGGTAAAGGTTGCCTCAAGAATCTCCCCTACAGACGGTCAGTCATTTTCTTTGAAACGTAAACGTACAAAATGATCGAACATCTCAGATAATCTCCTAACAGGAGGGGCATGTGGTTTGGTGTTTCACTGCAGCTCAGGCCCTGGCTGAGTGTCACTACCTTTTTTTTTTAGCTTAATGGCTGGGGAGACTGCAGGACACAGACAACAATGCTGAGAGTCTGAGACACACACACACGCGCCATCCATCTACAAAGCAGTAGCCAATCTGCAGAACAAACAGGCCAGCCTGGGCGTACCATCTCATTACCCTGTGATGAAACTAAGTGCAATAACGAGCCTCCATAAACAGAACAGAATTAGAAAAACATCAATGACCAGTAACCAGCCAGTAGCATATCTCTTTCCTGGCCTACCAGAGTATGATTCCGTTAAGTATTTAGTAGCCTGGGTTTTGTTTGCTCTAGTGTGCGGTAGAAGTGTGTTTATGGTGTTTCAGGCCCTCTGAGTGTTACAACTACTGCCCTACTTACGACTTCCTGGGGGGGGAAAAGCATTTCACCGAATTCTGACCACGCCAGCTCCTGCTGCCATGGAAACCTAGTAGGAAGACCCATTGTTGTTTCCAAGATCAGTTGGGAGGAGGGTTGGGGAAGAGGCTGTGTGGGTGGTAGAATGGGGGGAAATCAGGGGAGTTTTGAGAAACTGTGCAACGCCTCTCCAGGTCCCATGTGTACAGCGCCACTTCACATAATATTACATCATAATTGTTTAATTAAAAGTTTGGTTGAAGGTAGCATACACACACGGAATAAAAGCAATGTCATGTTGAATTGTTAATGTACAACATGTCATGAATGTGATAACAGCAATGTTATAAATGTGATATGAATGTTGTCGTTACCATGTCGTAAGGTATCTTGTGTGTGTGCGCTCTTCAACACTGCAGCTCGTCGTATGACGTAAAGTCGGGGCTGAAGATGGCGGTGAAGAAGCTGTCCAGGCCTTTCCAGTCGATTATCCACGCTAAGAGGACCTACAGAGAACTACGGCTCCTCAAACACATGAAACACGAGAATGTGAGTTAACCCCCCCCATACACACACACACACACACACTTCATGACTTTTTACTGATCCATCACTGGGGTGAAGAAATTCTAGAAACTTTCCCAAAGTTCACGAATCCCCGTTTGAGCCTAGAGGATTATTCAACTTCCAAGAGTCCTCCAACCGGGATTTTTGAGAAATCTGTCAAGTGTGTCTGTGTGTGTGTGTGTGTGTGTGCACCACACTTGCATGTGTGTGTTGTCGCCGTCTGCCTTCCCTTTGGGGCAAGCTGACCAGACCTCAGAGTGAGAGGAATTGTATCTGACTGTGGTACTGAATGTCTGTGTTTTATAAAAAGGCTATTGATCGCTATCTCTTAAACTAAATAGCAGATGGTGAAGTGTATGTGCGTGTGCATGTTTTTGTGGGTGCATACGTGCGTGTGCGTACATGCGTGCACGCCTGAGTGTCAGGGTGACGGGGGTCAAGTGTAAGATGTCTCTGTAACAAGTCTGTCACATGATCCTCCAGCTTCTAACAGTGTAGCTTCTCTCTGAGCTGTCAACAGATCCGTGTCACATCCATAGAACCACAATCACTAGAACCGACAAAGCCCCCTCAGCCCTGTTAACAGATATTATGCCTGTTCTGCAATGCCGTGCTTCTGGTGTGAAGGGAAGTTTTCTCTAGACCAGGAGTAAACAACACCAGTCTCTTCCTTCGGGGTGTGGGGTTTCACTGAATGATTCAGGAAGGGGGTTTCACTGAATGATTCAGGAAGGGGGTTTCACTGAATGATTCAGGGGTGTGGGGTTTCAATGAATGATTCAGGAAGTGGGGTTTCACTGAATGATTCAGGGGTGTGGGGTTTCAATGAATGATTCAGGGGTGTGGGGTTTCAATGAATGATTCAGGGGTGTGGGGTTTCACTGAATGATTCAGGGGTGTGGGGTTTCACTGAATGATTCAGGGGTGTGGGGTTTCACTGAATGATTCAGGGGTGTGGGGTTTCACTGAGTGATTCAGGAAGGGGGTTTCACTGAATGATTCAGGGGTGTGGGGTTTCAATGAATGATTCAGGGGTGTGGGGTTTCAATGAATGATTCAGGGGTGTGGGGTTTCAATGAATGATTCAGGGGTGTGGGGTTTCACTGAATGATTCAGGGTTGGGGGTTTCACTGAATGATTCAGGGGTGTGGGGTTTCACTGATTGATTCAGGGGTGTGGGATTTCACTGAATGATTCAGGAGTGTTTAACAATGGTGACACACTAGGTCAACTGCTGTGTGTCGTGGTCAAGACGGAGTTTAACTCAGTTACTAATCTGAATCTGACAATGCTGGTGGTGATTGTGCAGAAGGTCTACCCAAACTTTCAAACTTGTCTCTCTGTGTTGAGGTAACTCAGCTGCAGGAAGGGAACAGTAGATTGTCTCTCTGTGAGTTGAGGTAACTCAGCTGCAGGAAGGGAACAGTAAATTGTCTCTCTGTGAGTTGCGGTAACTCCGCTGCAGGAAGGGAACAGTAGAATACAGTATGATCCACAGAGAGTGTGTGTGTTTGAGCTGTTAAAGCTTCTCTGTCTGAATTTAGGGAACAGTTAGTTCTCAGCAGTAGGAAAGGGAACAGTAGAATAGTATGCTACACCTGACAGAGAGAGTGTGTGTTAAAACTTCTCTCTCTAAGTTGAGGTAACTGTCAGCAGCAGGGTGAGGTAACTGTCAGCAGCAGGGTGAGGTAACTGTCAGCAGCAGGGTGAGGTAACTGTCAGCAGCAGGGTGAGGTAACTGTCAGCAGCAGGGTGAGGTAACTGTCAGCAGCAGGGTGAGGTAACTGTCAGCAGCAGGGTGAGGTAACTGTCAGCAGCAGGGTGAGGTAACTGTCAGCAGCAGGGTGAGGTGACTGTCAGCAGCAGGGTGAGGTAACTGTCAGCAGCAGGGTGAGGTAACTGTCAGCAGCAGGGTGAGGTAACTGTCAGCAGCAGGGTGAGGTAACTGTCAGCAGCAGGGTGAGGTAACTGTCAGCAGCAGGGTGAGGTAACTGTCAGCAGCAGTAGGGTATTAGAGGGAGGTACTGTCAGCAGCAGGGTGAGGTAACTGTCAGCAGCAGGGTGAGGTAACTGTCAGCAGCAGGGTGAGGTGACTGTCAGCAGCAGGGTGAGGTAACTGTCAGCAGCAGGGTGAGGTAACTGTCAGCAGCAGGGTGAGGTGACTGTCAGCAGCAGGGTGAGGTGACTGTCAGCAGCAGGGTGAGGTGACTGTCAGCAGCAGGGTGAGGTAACTGTCAGCAGCAGGGTGAGGTAACTGTCAGCAGCAGGGTGAGGTGACTCTCAGCAGCAGGGTGAGGTAACTGTCAGCAGCAGGGTGAGGTAACTTCAGCAGCAGGGTGAGGTACTTCAGCAGCAGGGTGAGGTAACTCTCAGCAGCAGGGTGAGGTAACTCTCAGCAGCAGGGTGAGGTGACGCTCAGCAGCAGGGTGAGGTAACTCTCAGCAGCAGGGTGAGGTAACTCTCAGCAGCAGGGTGAGGTAACTGTCAGCAGCAGGGTGAGGTAACTGTCAGCAGCAGGGTGAGGTAACTGTCAGCAGCAGGGTGAGGTAACTTCAGCAGCAGGGTGAGGTAACTGTCAGCAGCAGGGTGAGGTAACTGTCAGCAGCAGGGTGAGGTAACTGTCAGCAGCAGGGTGAGGTGACTGTCAGCAGCAGGGTGAGGTAACTGTCAGCAGCAGGGTGAGGTAACTGTCAGCAGCAGGGTGAGGTAACTGTCAGCAGCAGGGTGAGGTAACTGTCAGCAGCAGGGTGAGGTAACTGTCAGCAGCAGGGTGAGGTAACTGTCAGCAGCAGGGTGAGGTAACTGTCAGCAGCAGGGTGAGGTAACTCTCAGCAGCAGGGTGAGGTGACTGTCAGCAGCAGGGAAGGGAACTGTCAGCAGCATGGTGAGGTAACTGTCAGCAGCAGGGTGAGGTAACTGTCAGCAGCATGGTGAGGTAACTGTCAGCAGCATGGTGAGGTAACTGTCAGCAGCAGGGTGAGGTAACTGTCAGCAGCAGGGTGTGATCTACCTGACACAGCTTCTGACCCAGTTATTCTTTGAGCTGATTTCCCCACTGTTGCCTGGTTACGCTGTTGGTTATGTTTTTTTAGAAAGCCAGAGTCGGCCAATTACTGTTTGCTTTGGCTGGAGTCCACCAATCGCAGTGGGCTCTGCCCTGTGTGGGCGGTGTGGAGTTGTGTTGTTATGAAACCCACCCACCTCAGTCCCTTTCTCTAGAAGGGGGCACACTGGGTCTGACACCAATGTCTCCTCTACTCCTCTCCTCTCTATTCACCCACACACTGCCTGCATGCTAGCTCTGCTCTCCCACTATTGCTCTTTCTGCCTCTCTCTGCTACTCTTTCCCTCTCTCTCTTTCCCTCTCTCTCTCTCTCCTCTGCCTCTCTCTCTCTCCTCTGCCTCTCTCTCTCTTAGGACCTCTGATTTCCTGTTCAGAGTTCATTCAGCACTTTCCGTATGTGTTAACAGCCTCACACACACACACACACACAGCAAACATTAGCTTCACATCTCCAACTCAATCATCAAGTTTGCTGACGACACAACAGTGGTAGGCCTTATTACCAACAACGACGAGACAGCCTACAGGGAGGAGGTTAGGGCCCTGGCAGAGTGGTGCCAGGAAAATAACCTCTCCCTCAACGTCAACAAAACGAAGGAGCTGATCGTGGACTACAGGAAACAGCAGAGAGAGCACGCACCCATCCACATCGACGGGGGCCGCAGTGGAGAGGGTCAAAAGCTTCGGCGTACACATCACTGAGGACCTGAAATGTTCCCTCCACACAGACAGTGTGGTGAAGAAGGCGCAACAGTGCCTCTACAACCTCAGGAGACTGAAGAAATTTGGCTTGGCCCCTAAGACCCTCACAAACTTCTACAGATGCACCATTGAGAGTATCCTGTCGGGCTGTATCACCACCTGGTATGGCAACTGCACCGTCCGCAACCGCAGAGCTCTCCAGAGGGTGGTGCGGTCTGCCCAACGCATCACCGGGGACACACTGCCTGCCCCCCAGGACATCTACAGCACCCGGTGTCACAGGAAGGCCAAAAAGAACATCAAGGACCTCAGCCATCCGAGCCACGGCCTGTTCACCCCGCTACCATCTAGAAGGCGGAGACAGTACAGGTGCATCCAAGCTGGGACCGAGAGACTGATAAACAGCTTCTATCTCCAGGCCATCAGACTGTTAAACACTCACCACTAGCCGGCCTCCGCCCAGTACCCTGCCCTGAACTTTAGTCACTGTTACTAGCCGGCTACCACCAGGTACTCTACCCTGCACCTTAGAGACTGCTGCCCTTTGTACATAGACATGGAACACTTGTCACTTTAATAATGTTTACATACTGTTGTACCCACTTCATATGCATATACTGTATTCTAGTCAAGGCTCATCCTATATAACTACTGCTGTACACACCTTTTCTATTCATATACTGTCCATACATACCCCTATTTTATATATACAGTACCAGTCAAAGGTTTAGACACACCTACTCATTCAAGGGTATTTCTTTATTTTTACTATTTTCTACATTGTAGAAGAATAGTGAAGACATCAAAACTATGAAATAACACATATGGAATCATGTAGTAACCAAAAAAGTGTTAAACAAATAAATACATTTTAGATATTTTCAAGGTAGCCACCCTTTGCCTTGATGACAGCTTTGCACACTCTTGGCATTCTCTCGACCGGCTTCATGAGGTAGTCACCTGGAATGCATTTCAATTAACAGGTGTGCCTTGTTAATTTGTGGAATTTCTTTCCTTCTTAATGCGTTTGAGCAGGTTTTCATCAAGGATCTCTCTGTACTTTGCTCCGGTCATCTTTGCCTCGATCCTGACTAGTCTCCCAGTCCCTGCCGCTGAAAAACATCCCCACAGCATGATGCTGCCACCACCATGCTTCAGCCTAGGGATAGTGCCAGGTTTCCTCCAGACGTGACGCTTGGCATTCAGGCCAAAGAGTTCAATC